TGCTGTCGGCGCCATAGTCTCATTGGATCAACCTCATAGATCTTTGCGGCGCGTCGGAGAGTTAATTTTCGGTCATTTTTAAGGGCACGAAGTGCGAGAATAACATTAGCTTCACTATTGAATTCAGGCATATTGGGTGGTGAAGAAACAGTTGACGACGTAGACATGTTGTAGGTTGAGGGATTTTTGTAACACTCACGTGTTTGTAACACTCGCTTATCATGGACGTTATATATATATACATATATTTTTTTTTCCTTGCCGTCAGCCTTATAAGGCTATCGAGCTTTTGACTTTATATACGAAGGCTTAAATAATGAGTATCGACTCCGATGACGACAGTGGCTGGCTGGACAATGTCAGTCTCATCACACAACACCACAAGTCAGGAAGGCAAGCAGCCCTGGTGTCATACTGGTACCTATAATCTAATGAGCCTAGGGTCTTCATTGTGCCTCGTGTCGAGCAGGAGGAAGCAAACGACTTCAACGTCGATTTTGAGGAGAAGACCAGGATAGTTCGTAAAGATGTGAACATGATGACGGTTTAAGTTCTATACAAAAAGGGAGAGAGTACCGCACTAATCTCAGAAGATATGATGTCGGAGGTCAAGACCCCTTGGTATTTCCTTTCCATGCAGACTGTTACGAACTTCTTGGAAAGGTCGTCAAACTGCAGAAGATTGACAACGCACCCTTTTACTGAGTTTTAACATCTCATCTTCCAAGGCTCCCCTACGGGCCGCCAAATGTCTTGGACTTTAACTATGGCAAACTGAAAAGATATCAGAGCGATGAGTGGGATACTGCCCTAGGAATGGAGTACGCAGTCGCATCGCCAATTTCCATCGAGAACGTCACTTCCGTTATTGAGGGCGTTTTGAGGAAAGCTAACAAGTCGAACGTACCCGACAATCGATCAACCCATAACGCCCCAACTGGGCCATCTTCTGATCGTGGACGTTCCCGAAACGGTCCGACTGGCCCGTATCAGTCCTACAGAACCGGTCCGTATCACAATCATCAGGGAACAAGCTCGCGATATGAACACAACCAAGCAGCGCTGCACGCAAATCACCGAGGGCCACAAAGAAACCAGTGAAAGAGGCAGAACCGGCAGAATGGACTGAATAGATATTCTGTACAGAGGGATATTTCTGACACGGAGTGGGAAAACAAGTTTGTCACGGAATTTGCCTGGATATGCGAGTTTCTTCCGCCCAAGGAGGAGATCGAGCGGCGTCACATTGATAGGTTCTTGTTTTGCAAGGCCATCTTTGACCTAGGCAGTGGCCGGGGATTCAATACTCCTGACTATCGAGATACGCTGCGGGCCTTGCATAATCGCCGTCGACTCTGGGAATTATGTTCGAAGATCGTAGAGGAGTATCTGCCTCTCTCCCAACAGCGCAGCGCACAAAAGCCTGAGGCAAACTCCTCACCCGAGGCCGCGAGATCCAGGACGACCAGCTCAGTACCTACGAGCACGCCCTCGACAATAGACTTCTTCAGGAAGCCTATAAAAAGTAGCAGACCTTGGCCATGTGAGCCGCATGAGCTGAGGAACAAGTCACAGATCGGAGCATCTTCCATGGAGACTCTGATTCTTGCAGCTCGTGGTAGCGATCTGACTAATGCGACCCGTTTCGGGGTCGACGCTAATATGCAGCGATTCGAGATTCATCTTGAGGAAAATGGGCGAAAATGGAGTCATTGCATTGGTCTCCGCAGCACGGCCATGCAGTACCTCTACTTCGACAAGTCAGCGGCCGTCCCTGACAGAATTACAAGTTGTTATGTGACTATGCAGCAAAATGTCCCCAGTGGTTTACGGTTTATCAGCCAAAGTCAGACGATCACTGCTGGAAAGCCTGAAGAAGATGAAATGGAGTATCCTCCTCAAACGAATTGGGGCGGCTGGATGACTGGCATATTCTGCCAATGGTCAGATCGAGATTCACCTGATGTCAAGTTGGCCTCTTTCGATGTGTACTTTGCGGACGAGTAGCGTCTGCTACAGGGGATATAAAGGATCACGGAGGAGGAGGAGGAACCCTATACTAGCCACCAGGGATTCAGCGACAGGAAAGCCAAACAAATATCTTTTGCATTGCCATAACCATCCTTAGACTAAGAAAAAACCAGGCATTTGTTGTGATTAGATGCTAAGGTAGTTGCTGGGAAATAAAGTTCCTTTAGCTAGGTACTCGAAGTACCCTAGTCCGAACTCATCACTGTACCAAGCATTACACCAATTGTCGTGATCAATCTCTATTTCTCTGCCGTACTTACAATGCTCGACGTTCTGTCTGCCTGATTTAAGACTCGCAAAAGCCTCGGTTGCACCATCTTAACCTCAGCGTCACATTTTCCCCACAACCCTTGATCAAACTCACACGGTTCAATTTGTGGGTCTTATCCCTAGAAGCCATAGCTCAAAGAGGCATAGCGGCGCCCTTGCCACTAGCCATAAACAGTCTCCCTGGCAATTTAACAGCTGTTTGCTGCCCCCCCTGAGAAATTCAGTAAACAATAAATAATACTGACCATCATAACTTCGCACCCTCATCGATATAAGTGTAACGCGAGTCATGAGCGGATATACTGTCTGCTGCGCCTTGTGCTGTGCGACCATACTTAATAAGCATCGGGACCGTGATGTCGGCCATGGCAGAGACTCGGGACGCGATATTGATAGAGCGTGGATGGGGGAATTCATGATCATTGCTCGAGACCCCGAAACACAAGAGTAAGAGTCAGACTTATAGTCCCCTATGATTCCGGTTGATCTAATACCATTAGGACTTTTATAATCGAGAAAGCACGGCATCATCGAGACAACACCTTTGACGTGCACGATGATGAACAAGTTGCTAATTATGGCGAAGCATTTGACTCCCGACTCGTGACAGTGTAAGCATCCCATTACTACCACCGGCGAGCAGATTATTCTGACTTACACTCAGGTACCACTGCGAAGGGCCTCAGGCATTTGCAGCGCCATTTCACGTCGATTGCTACAAGGTGCTAGCAGACGCTTATGAGCCGCGAGATATGGATCTCTCAGCTCTTTATGACACCCTTGAAAGCTACTGTCTACGTGATGACAGCATCATTCGCTGCCAATTGCAGTTCGACTATGACAAGCCAAGACACAATGTGGTCGGTACCGCCCATGATTTCTCGTACGCATCACCAAGCCGCGTTTCTGATCTAACCATATTTGTGGACGAGCTTAAAATAAACTCACGAAGATCTCGCTCAAGTGTTCCGCACATCCTCAATGGCGAAAGGTTGACTCCTACAAAAATCTACAATGATATGCCATGGGCAAAGTACATTTTTTCGGTCAAACAGCACAAGATGACAATTGATATGGCCATATACTACAAGAATCTCGTCGCTCTCGGCAATGGCCGCCTCAGGGAGGGGAACTTCTCACTTCCACTCAGAATGCATCTTCAGAATCGGTGTCGACTGTGGGGTGTATGTTCTCGACTTTTGGAGGAGTGCTCGGCACGCGGCCAGTCGGCGAACAGGACGAAGGCGAAGACCAAGACGAAAAAGCAGGAGCCTTTGATTAAACATACTAAGAAGGCTGACAATATTTTAAGGGGCGCCATCTCGAGTCCCATACCACTGTTGACATTCCCAGCCTACGCCAGCACAGTCTATGACAGAGTCAGCCTCATCGAGGAGATGAAAGATCTCGAGAAAGCCGAGCCTGTGATTAGGGTTTATTGGGATGCCAACAAGCACCTTGCTGGTATTGGGGTTTACGATCCCAGCACAGATACGTTCAAGACCTTAGGGCCAAAGAATTTATTTCACAAGAGCCAAGATGCCCAGATCCCCCAAGATAATTGGCTAGCAGGAATTTTCATCGTGACGAAGGAAGTGCCTCAAGAGATACCCAGGGTCTGGCGACGGGTGATTGTAGGGATCAAGTTTATGTTCCTGTACGACGACTTTATGTCGTTCGGTGAACCTTTGGGAGACATCCGAGTTCTCGTTCCCAAGCCGTGGCATACTGTGGTTGGCATTGGCGCTTCGTGGAATGAGGCAAGAGGAGTGGAAAGCCTGGTTCTTCTGCAGCAAGACCAAGACAAGGTGCCTCACTCTGCCCAATGTCGGGTCGGGATGGAATACCCTGATGACCTAGACGGACTATCAGTGTTAACGATGTTTCGACCCGATCCTAGAATCGCAAACTTCCTCTGGAGAGGCTGGATCCCCCTCCAGCCCGAAGTCTGGCCTACTTACCCAGTGCGACTAGATCCCTTGATGCCAACGCCTGTAGAGACACTGATGCTCACCAAGCCGCTCGGCGATAACTTGGACTACAAATTCATTCTTGGAGTGGATGCTCAGTTTCGCGGGTTTGAAGTGCTATTTGAATACAAGGACAAAACTGATCGGCGATCTATCGGCCTCCCCACTGCCATGCACTACTTCTTCATGGATAGCGATGAGCAGATCACGAAATGCTATATTACTGGGAAGGATAAAGTTGAGGGCATTCGCTTCGTAACGGATAAAACACAGCATTTCATTGTTGGTAGACCTGGACGAGAAGAGAGGGGCCTTGCCAAAGAAGGGTTAAACATGGAGTCTATTGAGGGTTTTCACTGCCGATGGTCTGACGACCGAAACAGCTCCCTGACGTCCCTTGGGGTATTGACGCTCGAGTTTAGCTCTGTGAATTTAGGAGACGAACGCGAAGATAAGGATGTTGACAATATTTTGGGGCGTTACTGGGTCCCCGAACGTCCGCAGACAAAATTCCCAATAGCTGAGGTTGGAAGAGTCTTCGGTGAAACACCAATGATCGAAAGACTGCGCTATCCCGGCCTTGGCGTGCCAGGTCCAAAAGCTGTCGTGACGTGGCTCGACTGCTCAAAACCACTTGAATCCATCGACATTACGATGTGTCATAGCACGACGACAGAGCTGCTCATGATGACCTCCATGATCTTCATGTACGCAGAGGGCCATGAGGCAATGCACTTCGGGCCAATACCCGTAGTATCACCAAAGCACGAGAAAGACGTCAAGAAGCAAGACCGATGCGCTTGTATACATGGCGGTTCTTTTGAACAAGAGATCGAAGATTTACCTCACTATGAACCTGATAAATGGCACGTTTACGGCGGTTACTTGAAGGCTCTTCGTGTATGGGTTAACGACCTGGGCGTCTTGACCGGTCTACAGTTCGTGGCTGATGAATCTGAGAGTCAGCAGTGGGGGTTCTGCCATGGCGAACACGTGGCTGAGTTGGATCTCCAGAGCAAGGAGAGCAAAACAAAAGGGATCAAGTTCTTCCTAGACTCGAATGGGAGAAACGATGTGAGCGAGGATATCGTCGTTGTAGCGGTTCAACTGATCGAGGTACCAAAGAATGGGGATAAAGAACAAAATATCCGGCACAAGAAACCAAGGTATGTTACCTCCTTTAGACAATGATAGTGAGGCCATAAGCTAACCACCACTGGCTATAGATATAGGTGAAAACATCGGTTGTGAGTCCGGCCTACGTAGGAGGTTTATCAGATGGATGGTGGACAGCATGTGCCCTACGGGGCGTGTTGAGTTGGAGGTCTTTGGCATGTAAAAGACCCCAGAATTCTTTGGTAGCATTTTTAGCGATTGTTATTGGGACGTGTTTGGTATGCCATTACAGTTATGATTAATTCTATATATATATAGGTCGTCAGAGACGACTGTGTTTGATCTATTATTCTCTCATCCTTGAACAGCTGCTGAACTCAATAACAGCCGTGGATAACTTCGAAGGTCTTGCACAGCAGGAAAGACCGTTTACCGAGAAGCGACACGAGTTCAAAATGGCAGCCAGATTATGTTGATCGCACCCAGCGCTCAACAAGAGCCTGGATCTGATCACTGTTCTTCTCCATAAACATCATATGTCCATTACCGTGGATGCCAACCTCACCGAGCTCAATGTGCTTGGTCTTGGAGCAGCCAGCCTGCTTGAGGTAGCGAGCAATGCAGTAGTCGTAGGGCATGTGATAGGAAGCCTCAGAAGTGAGGAGGAGGATAGGCTTCTTGGCAAGGTTGACGAGACGGCGAGGGGCAGGCTTCTTGGCTTGGAGGATACACTCGACGAAGTCCTCGCCACGGCTGGGCTGGACCTCTTGCACAAGATCGGTGGACGGGTCTGTGACGGCAGGGCTGTAGACGAGGGGAATGTCAGTCAGACCGTAGGCGCGAGAGGCCTTGGTGCTGAAGACGGCGTCTCGGAAGGGGGGACCAGAGGGCTCAAGAAGGATGAGACCCTTAGTGAGCTTGGGGCGGGCATCAGCGACAAGAATGGGCATCATACCACCTTGACTGTGACCAAGGAGGATAACAGGCTTGCCAATCTTGTCAAGAAGGGCAGCACCGGCAGCCTGGACGGTCTCCTGCTGGTAGGTGGCGTTGTTGATGAACTGGACGTTGGAAGCATAGAAGGCGTCAAAGACAGGGTCTCCTCGCTTGCCGGTACCAGGCCACTGGGTGTGCTTCTCAGCCTGGGGCCAGAGATTGAACTCCTGCACGGCAGTGAAGCGCTGCTCGATGATCTCTGCCGAGTATGTGGAGGGCTTGGTAGCACCAGCGAGGGGCGCCCATGCCGATCGTCCTCGGAAGGTCTGATCGACGATATAAACTTCGTAGCCCTGGTTGATGAACTGGCTCGCCCAACCACGGCCTCCGTCTGGCTTATTTAGGAAATTCTATGTCTGTGTGTCAGCCGCGGCTGTTTCGTATCGTCAATCAAGGGTACTTACGGTTCCTGTTTGGGCCTGTCCGTGGATGAATACGAGAGGCGTGGACTTGTAAGGTCCCTTGGTAGGGACCAGTCTCTCCACGTACATCTGATCGCGGAAGATCTCTCCGCCCGCACCATCATCTACATAACCTCCGCCGACCATGAAGTACGTGCGAATAGCAGGAACTTCACCCTGGCTTCCATAGCTCGCAGCGAGACACTGGGTGAATGTCGCGGTAGCAGCGACTAGGAGGGAGGTGAAACGCATGGTGGGCAGATGAGATGAGAACGATGGATGGATGGATGGGGAAGGAGATGCAGCGCGGATGCAGGAAGAACAAAAAAGAAAAGAACGAAAAGAAACAGTCGCAGATATACTGCATCATGCAGGGGGTTAACACTGCGGAATTGAGGTTGCTCAAGGCCTCCTGGCTAGTGAGCTACACTAGACAGGATCGTCATCCTCATTTTCCATTTCGGATGCGACAGACTGAACTCTAGACTTTTAGGCCCCTGCTAACAAGGTTGCAGCTCGTATCATCCGCATCCCAGGAACCCGCGTGATATCCCTGCCACAAGAAAATGGCGCATGAGGGACGAACGGCCCAATTGCCCGATTGACGGTATCAAGCGATATTCTTCCACGGCGTCAGTTGACATCGCCTAGAATATTGATTGAATAATTTATTAATACTACCGCTCGCAATGTCATTCCGTCTCTAGCGCACAGGAATAGTTTACTTCTCCCCGTTGAAGGAAAACGGCCCGTTCTAGCGCTCGTACCCAAAATGAAAGACACGACCTAACGCCACGGGAAACCAAGCTAGGCACTAAAACTGACAAGTCCAGAAGCATATCGTCAGTAAACTCACACAGAAAACAAGCGTAATTAACGGGGAACGTCCCGCTGGGATTCAAGTGGCGGAAAGCTGAAAAGAAGCAAAGCAGGTAGCAGGAAGCGTTTCATCAAAGAACAATCTACAGTAACAATAAAAAGATATGTGATCTGCGCCCATCCCCCGCCGCGAAGATCTCCCTTGTTTTTTTCTTTCCTTTTCCTCTTCGCAGTGTAACTCGACACGATGGAGGATCCTACGCTGTTTATTCACTGGTTCTTCAGCTGCTTGTCGCTCCTCATCATGGGGGTGCGGCTGATATGGAGAAAGGTCGCCAAGCAGAAGTTTGTGCTCGGCGATTACCTCACAATGGGCGCTATTTTGTGCTGTGCTGTGAGACTGGCGCTCATTCATGTCGTTCTCACTTGGGGAACGAATAACATTAAACCGAGTCTTCGGGAGAAGATGGTTTTTACAGATGAGATTATTTATCGACGGGAGATTGGGAGTAAATTCGCCATTACCAATCGAGTCTTTTACAATTCATTGTTAGTGTTCCTTTACTGACTCGAGGCGAGTCATGCTGACGTTTTTAGCCTTTGGTTACAGAAGCTCGTGCTTCTCGATGTCTACCGACGATTGCTCCTCAACTTGCGATATCAGAAGACTATTATGTATTCATTTCTTCTCGTTTTCTTCGGTACTTATGTCGCTGTCCAAGTCACGACTTTCAGCGAGTGCGTGCCATTTCATTTGTATTGGCAGGTCGTTCCGGATCCTGGATCATGCTCCAAGGCCCAACTGCAACTCATCGTCGTTGGAGTTCTCAACATTGTCACCGACGTGATGCTTCTCGCCGTCCCTATTCCGTTGTTCTTTTCGCTCAAGACATCCTGGAAGCGTAAACTCAAACTTTACGTACTCTTCACTCTCGGTATCTTCATCGTCGCTATTACTGTCATCCGATTGCCGATCAACGCCATGAACAAAGACAGCCAAGTCAATCGCACGACATGGGCCAGCACCGAGCTTCTCACGGCGACAATCGTCGTCAACGCACCGACTCTGTATGGATTCTGGAATAAGAAGAAACAGGGCACTGGATATGTCTATTCTCACTCGCAATCCAACGGGACTGGGATGCGGAGCAGGAAAAATACAAGAGTAACTGATACACTTGGAGACGATCCTACGACCGAAACATTCGCTCTCGGTACAGTCCGTCACAGTCGCCAGCCTTCTGAGGGTATTTTACGGACTCAAGAGATTACTGTCACAGAATACATCGACTCTCGGAAGAATTCCAAGGGCACGGGTTCACGGACGGACGAGACGGAGGTTGCGTCGAATTCAAGTCAACTGAGTATCTTGCGGGATCAAAAATAGTCTAGTATCTGCGTTGTAATAATATGTTCTGTTATCTTCCTCCACAAGAAAGTATTTTCCGAGTCAAAGCCAAGCTCTGTCGCTGGCGATCAATGGCGCGCATCCAATTTCCATTCGGACCCCGTTGACCCGATCGAAGGATCAACCCCCCAATTCCAGTGACAGGGATCGACAAAGCCAAGAGTAGTTCACCTTCCAGAAAATGAGCCTGATCAGCGCTCACCAACGAACCGGTTCGCCTAACGTTGCTTCGTCAGCGGACCCGTCGGAAAAGGTAGCGGAAATTTGTGTGTGCCATTTCATTTTCCCCTGTGAAATGCATCCGTACGCCGGCTCCAATCCTGTGACAATTCATCCCAATTCGATTGGCGAGGTTGCATTTTGCGTCTGCCCACTTCCCGCCTTCAATGCTACTGTGCGAGTGCGAGTGACCCGAAAACGGTCGTCAAATCGCATGGTCTTTGCTTTGCTTGTCAATTGTTTATGTCCTGAACTCTAAATCGCACGAGGGCAGCTTTTGCGTTGGAAATACCGAGTACCTGGATAGCAACCCTGGATTTCTGTCGCTGGGAGGCACAGAACAGTGAGGCGAACCCAGAATTTCGGGAGCCAGGGATTTGTTATCAAGGATCAGTCACGATGCATGCAGGTCCATGGACGCCACCCAAATACAGCTCGTTTCCCGTACCGTGTCCCCGGGATTACGTACTCCAGGCATCTGCCGTGCTGCTGTCACCTGCTGTCACCCCTTTGGAAACCCTTGAGTCCCTGTTGATAACGCAGAGATTATGATGAAATCGTTCGATGTTCTAAGCAATAACCTTACGCCGGACGCTACACTCAATCAAGCGGAAGCGTTTTCAGCCCAACGCCGCCATGTGGACCTGCACTGCCGGGATTCGTCCTTGGACCACTGACGGGTCTGACCCCTTTGCAATTTGGGTTTAACTCGCCTGTAGGGTTTCTTTCGCTGTTGTAGCCGGAGCGGATTCAGGCCCGCTGGCAGGCGAAGCTCGCCTAAGATGTTCTGGAATCAAAAAAAAAGCAACATTATCGGGGGTGCCAAGTTTCTTACATATCACATTATCTATTCTCAAATTTGAAGTTGTCGTGGGTTTCGATCTGTCCTCAGGGACTGCAATGCCGGTCCGCCGTGCCAGCATACTTTACTGTGCCTCGGTATGTGATCCATTGCCAGTGCAGATCGGGGGCTTGATCTAGTCACCTAAATCGTTTATACTCTCGGCGTGGGGAGTGACGCATGCCGGTAAATCTTATTGCTATGCCGCCAAACTGCTCCCAGCAAAGCCAGCGCGCGTAACTCGGATACTGGGGCCACAGCCTTCGGGGACCTCGCCTTTTCGCCGTACCGTAGGCTTGCCTGACGCCACGCCGTCGTTAGTGACTTTCGGCACATATACGAAATATACGAACATGCAGCTAGTCGATATCAACGGTCATATCTGGTACACTCCAGGGGTTTTGTGTTATCTACACGACGGAGGGGCTACGGTGGTGTCACATAGGAGAAAGCGTGGCATTTCTTACCCTGCAGTATCGAGTCAGTAGAAAAGAGGACAACGAAATCGCAGGCAGTAGATGAGATTCCAGTCACAAGTCAAACATCTAGAATAATATCTAGTGAAGGTAGATCTACAGTTGGGCTAGTTTGCTCCAGAGCGGTAAAGCAACCTATATCTTGCTGATGCTCTAACCCCCAAGACATTCCAATGGTATGTTTGGGCAGTTTTAACAACAGGGCTGTATAATGTCTGCACCCACGACGCAGCATAATCTTTCAGATTAAAAACTCTTGTACAAAGTTACAAGGCAATCCGTATCTTGTAACCTTTACAAGTCTCTCCCATTACTTCCCGTGAAGCCGTATTACTTATCCCTATCAAGGCCACTTTATCCTAAAACGATCTCAGACCTAAGAGTTCGAGCTACTGCCACTAGAAATACCTGCCGAAGCTGCTGGAACCAAGGGAACTACTGGTACTGCTGGCGCTGCTCTTTTCCTTTTCCGCCTCTTTACTACCAGCCAAACCGCTAGCACAGCTGAGACTATCCCTGCCACGGCCGCAGGTAGACCGACACCAAGTCCTATCTTGTTCTCTAACGACATGACCCCAGACTTTCCCTCCGAAGTTTCGGTGACAGATGGTGTCTCTTCGGTGGATGTACTAGTCGAGGTTATTGCCAGCGTGGTTGATGAAGAACCTCTATCAGTGGAGATAGTGTCTGATGCTGTCAGGATAGGTCGATTGAATATGATCACTTCTGCAGTGGGTTGAACATCTGTACACCAAACGAGTGAAGCGGAGATGTCGTAAAATTTCCAGGTTTGGCAGTATGGATTTCCGGCATCAGTACTATACGCCGTTAGCTATAATGTCGAAAGAGCTCTTTGTATAGGCTTTTTACCAGCAACTCGTCCCCGCACTGAGGCTTTCTTCACTGCATTGGCCTTCGCTAACCGCGGTATAGTCTAAACATACCTATACGACAGTACACGGCTCACTCCAACAACAGCCAACAGCGGAATATGGCTCATCGTATAGACATGTGCCTTCTCCGGGACACGTCCACGGGATTTCTGATTGTTTTATGTGAATAGCATATCGATGGAAGGTGAAAGGAGGAGTTACCTGAGCTCGTGTCTATAAAACCGCAGGTATTGGTCTGTTCACTTTGGTCTGAGACGGCCAAAGCCGCTGGCGACGTGATAGTCAAAAATTTCGAGTAAGTTGTATCTGGCTTTATTTCTGTCATTTGGATATGCTATCGTTGTCGGTAGATCAGGACAGGCAAAGTTAGCTGTTATAAGGATAGGGCTGAGAATGCACTGCCTCCACCTGTCTCACATCAATCCCCAGCCTGCTTTTCAGCTGCCTCAAACTGCTTAGCGAACACTCATAAGACACTGAATTTCTATGGCCTCTGGGTCTTCTGAGTGGCAGGCTGTTAGATTCGCTGCTAAGGTTGCAGGCTTGCTGCTTTGGCATTTTTGACGTGTCGACCTTGGCATTCCTGCGCAGCGTTA